TACCGACCTTACGACGACCCCAAAGTAGTGCCCATCAGGCTCAATGAAACCAAAAGAAACCCAACTCATGAGGCAGCAACCCTTGAGTTTATCATACTAAAAGCCTCTAATGGGAAAAGTGGGCATGCAAGATTCAGGGTATGTGAGCTGAAAGAACCGAATGAACTGTAAGCAATGAAATGGAAATCCACACAGACAACCCCCATTAACCAAATGCTAAAACCTCTGCTGCTGCTAAACCCAAAAGAACAGATAATTCTCAAACGAAATGGCTAAAGATTAAGGGAGAAGTGTATGATAGTTGAAAGAAAGAATACATACCCTGTGGAGCTTCCTTCAGAACGAAAGTTGGTTGAAAGAAACAGTGAAGTACGAAACTTGCGACAAGAGGCCATGGGGGTCGATTGGCCACAGCCCTGCAGAAGAAATCCAACGATTCGAAACTTATAGTAGTTCATGTTCAGATGTTGTTATGGTTGTTTATTTCAAATTTCTTTTTAAAGACTAAGCTTAAAAAGATAGAATCACCCAATAGGAAGCTTAAGCATGAACAATTTCATTTATAGTTATTGTGCTCCTGGTTTTGAAAACAATATAATGAAATGAGGATGAAGATGAAGATGAAGATGAAGATGGCTTCTCTCTTTTGATCACACGTCCAGAACCTAAATGTATTCGAACTTCGCTTTGCACACAATGGTTACCATACAACATATAAGACATCCCCTCCATTTCACTTCCACTCTTTCCCCCGCCTTATCATTCAAAACGACGTCCCTTAATTTGCCGTTCTCCCCTGATCGTACCCATAGTAAGACAAATACCATCGAACGAACTTCTTCAGCCCGGATTGTAAATCGGTTCTTGGTTTATACCCGAACTCCACCTGGGCAGAACTTATATTCGCGTGGGTGAACGGAACGTCGCCATTTCCAGGCATGTCCACTATCTTCTTCTTCGCCTTCGTCTTCAAATGCTCTTCCAGAATGCTCACAAGCGCCGGCACCGTCACTGGCGACGTATTCCCCAAATTGAAGATCCGATACGGCGCCTGTCCCCTCTTTTTCCCGCCCGATCCGGTGCTTTTACCAGATGTGTCGAGCGAACCCAAACACCCCTTCACAATATCGTCAATGTAGGTAAAATCCCTGGCCAAATCCTCCTTATTCTTCCCACGGTAAACCGTAATCGGTTTCCCCTGAAGAATATTCCTAGTAAACATAAAATACGCCATGTCGGGTCTACCCCATGGACCGTACACGGTGAAGAATCTCAACCCGGTGATGGACAAGCCGTAGATATGATTGTAAGTGTGGGTAATTTCCTCACCGGCTTTTTTCGTTGCCGCGTAGAGACTCGCCGGTTGGTCGGTCCGGTCCAATTCGGAGAACGGGACCTTCTCGTTCAGGCCGTAGACCGAGCTGGAAGAGGCCCAAACAATGGCCGGTTGGGGATCTGCGGATTTACAAGCTTCGAGAAGCGTGACCAGGCCTGCAATGTTACTGTGCACATAGGAATGCGGATTCTCCATTGCGTATCTGACGCCAGCTTGGGCCGCTAAATGCATCACGTGCGTGAAAGCAACAATGTCGAAAAGCTTATCGAGCAAACGGGCGTCGTTAACATCACCCTCAACGACGAACACACCGTGACGATTAACAAGCGCCTTGCGAGCCTTTTTGAGCGAAGGGTCGTAGTAATTATTAAAATTGTCAAGCCCAACGACGCCGTCTCCACGTCGTTTGAGCGCTAAAGAAACGTGGGTGCCGACGAAACCGGAAGCTCCAGTGACGAGTACAGACATACCGCCGGAGCGGTGGATCTCGGCGGAGGTGCGGACTTGTTTCTCCCATTGGCGGCCGCCCCATGAGGCGGAGATATGGCGGGTACCGGAATGGACGAAGCTCTGGAAGCTGAGGTAGGAGACGGTGAGCGCGATTAGGAAAAGAGCCCATAAGAACATGGTGCTGGTGGAAGCGAAAAAGCGGTAGAACTGGCGGTTGATTCCGTAGCTTCTCTGTTCGATTTTGAATTTACCAGGGGTGGAGGGAAACAGCTCCTCATCCAATGTCGGCATTTTTTCTTTTAAAAAATTATGTTTGGGCAATCCAATAGAGAAGGATGAAATGGGAATGGTAGAGGGAGAGAGAAATGGTGGAAAAATAAAGGGAAAGGGGGGAAATGGTGGGACTGCTAATTAAGGGAGGGTGTAAGAAAGGGTTATTTATAGCGGTTGGACCATATGGAGCATTCCGCGTGAACGCCTTGAGACCCTTGACGATTAGACATATTTAAAATTCATTGTTTCTTTTTTTAATCCATTAGGAATGGAGATCCAAGCGTTAGCATTGGATAGAGAGTTATAGAAATTAGAATGGAATTTAGGGGTAATAAGATTATTGGAAAGGGGAATATACACGTGGAAGACAGGGATTGATTTAACAAATAAAATCGAGTTCTACGCAAAATTGTGAGAAGAAGGTGATGATACTAAATGAAACTCAAAAACAGGGAAGTAATGGAGGTGGTGGTAGCCGTTGCTGTTGTGAGGCTAAGTACGAAACTGTTGGAAGACAGAGGAGAGGAACAAAATGAGATGAGCGATGAAGAGTAAGAGCGAAGAAACGATGAGAAAAACGCCCAGCTTCCACCACTTGGCCTGAAGAGTTCCCAGGAAGCCTCTTTTGCAGGACACGCAGTTGTAGCACAAGTTTCCTCTGTCATTGTCCCATAAATCACAGTCGCTGTCGTATGGGTTTGACGGCCTTGCTTCTCTTTCCCTTCTTCTCCAGAACGTTGCGTTTACATACTCCATTTTGCAGATCGTTGCCGGTGTGCAGCACCCAGACTAACACGCACACACATTGTTAGCTACCATCTTACTTGTGTTTATATCAGGAAAGGGCAGGAAGGAAAATTTACCTCAATGGAGGACAGCTTGTGGAGACTAAAATCATAAGACTTAAGCATCAAGGTTCGTGACACCAAATCATCACAAGCCCCCGTATCATAAATACAAGACTTGATATCCTCCCAATGCGCGTTGTCAAACACCTTCAATCTCAGCCACTTAGGGGACGCGGCCACGGACCGGGTCTCCATCGAATACGCACCCACAAGCGCCAGCCCAATTATGAATATCAGCATCAACGGCAGCATTACAACCAAAAGCCCTAAAACAGGGAACCGAGGCCTCAACAAAACCACGCCATTACTTATCAAAAACAAGACTATGAGCCCAATGCCAATCCCCAGCTGGAAACTGGGCAGCTTCAGAATGGTCTCACAATCCGAGTCTCTGACGTAAAATATCCACACAATAAACCCCAAAACCGGGATCGAAAGTAACAGCGTCATTGTAGCCAACAGCCTGTCCAAATTGTTAATCTGAAGAAATGGGTTGGTTTTCTTGGGCGGAGCATCGCCGGCTTCTTTGTCTTTGGTGGGCTTGGTCTCCTCTACCGGCAGTACTGGGGCAGCTTCTTCTGCAACAACGATTGCATTGTTGTTGTCGTTCTCTGCCATTTGGTGAGTGAGTGATTGAGAGAGAATGGAAATGGTGTAGATAATTACAGAAGAAAGGTGGTGTTTTATATATGTTGATGTGATTGATGTATGGTAAGTTTCCGGTTGTGTTATAACAAACAAGTCAAAGAGCGGACACGTCTGAGTAATAAATTGGAAGGTTTTGAGGAGAAAAATAAGGGTGGGTTAGTTAGAGAGGATGAGAAATAGTAGGAGCAAGGTTTGAAAGCATTTAATGATTACATAAATCTTATTCCTCGAGACATTGTCTCAAATTTTGACCAACTCTGGTCTCCATAAATTTGGGATCTGCGGTAGAGCCTGAAATGTAAATAGGTGGTGGGCTATAATACAAGCAAGCAAGGCCCAAGGCCCAACACCAGTGCCATTCCGTGCCAAGCTTGCAAGTTTTGATCAAGACTTGTATTTATTGGTTTGAGGAAAGGATGGGGGTTGATATTTTCAAATAGTGCAGCGAAGACTGCAACTCCCCCAAGAAATTTGACTGTAAACCCATGAAAGAGGAAGTCAATTTCACGGGTCGTCTACATCTGTCATTTTGTGGAATTGGAGAAGGTCGTTTTGTGGATTTGTAGCATCTCCTTTTGGTTTCACATGATTCCATTTCAAATCCCTCCCTCTGCCTTTGCTTTCTTATCTCAAAAACTGTTCCTTCACTTTTCAAAAATATCTACTTGAATCATGTTCCTACCTACTTTCTTGTTTCTTTTTTCCTTTTAAGGTTGTAACCCTTTTCTTTTAAGTATTATACCCAACTTTCTAATGTCCATACTAATTTATTTAGTTTCAACTATGATATGATATATTGCTTCTAAAAACTAATTAAAATTGGAGAAAAATAACTTAGATGTATGAGTTGTACAAGTGAGTTGCTTTTATATCCAAAATGTAGTTGAGGACATAAAATTTTAGGACATACATACAACCGTTTTAAAGATAGACATGACATTTTTGGTGTATAATTTGTTTCTTTATCCAAAAATCAATAACTAGTCTAAAAAAAAATCCCAAAAGATATATTTTATTCTCCTATATTTTTCTTTTAATTCTATACTTTAAATTTATAGGGTTGGGATTTGATGTATGAATGTAGTAAAGATCCTGATGTTAGAATTTAGATTAGAAAGTTTGATAATAAAAGTAAGCAAATTTAGAGAGTTCATCCTTTAAATAAGTGTGTGAATGAATGACCAAAAACAAATAGAATTTGAAAAATGAAGTGCAGAATTCTCAAAAACAATTAAAAGGTGAAAAGCTTTCCGTTTGGGAATTGGATTTGGAATTGGAGAGCCGCGTGAGGAACAGCCTGCCTAGAAGCTACATCGGAAGATCCCCGGTTTTAATCAAATTTGTAATAACAGCCGTCGCTTTTGAACTTTCAACCTGACATCACCACCGTCAACATTTCGTCCCCTAAACGCGCCTTCTCAAAACGCTATAAAACCAATCCACACCCATTCCCAAACACAAACACGCATCCTTTTACTTCCCATCCCCTCCCTTTCCTCTCTGTTTTACTGAATCATTTGGGCGTTGGTTCGCAACCATGGTGCGGTTTAGCAATAATCTGGTTGGGATTCTCAATTTCATAGTCTTTTTGCTCTCTATTCCAATCATCGCCGGTGGGATATGGCTCAGCCGACAGGGGACCTCCGACTGTGAGAAATTTCTCGACACGCCGGTTATCGTCATCGGAGTTTTCCTTCTATTGGTCTCTCTCGCGGGTTTCATCGGCGCCTGCTGCCGTGTCACATGGCTTCTCTGGATCTATCTCTTTGTCATGTTCATCCTCATCGTCCTTCTCTTCGTCTTCACCATCTTTGCCTTCGCCGTCACCAACAAAGGCGCCGGCCAAGTCCTGTCCAACAGAGGCTACAAGGAGTACAGGCTGGGCGATTACTCCAACTGGCTGCAGAATCGCGTCAACAACAACAAAAACTGGAACAAAATCAGGAGCTGCTTGGTGGACGGCAAGGTGTGTACCGAATTCAACGATAAATTCGCCCGTGATACCGTCGATGAGTTATACCGAGAGCACTTATCGTCGATTCAGGTAAATTTCAATTTGGATCTCCGATGTAATGGAGAAACCCCCTTCCCCCCCCAAATTTCGAATTGATGGTAAGAGTAACTAAAATTTGTCTGGTTGATTGGGTGCAGTCTGGTTGTTGCAAGCCGGCAGATGAGTGCAATTTCGTGTTCGTGAGGCCAACAGAGTGGACAGTGGGCAGTACCAATTCTACGAATCCAGATTGTGGGCTATGGAATAACGAACCTAAGACGCTGTGCTTCAATTGTTCGTCCTGCAAGGCTGGGGTATTGGACAATTTGAAGAGGAACTGGAAGAAAGTGGCGATTATTAATATTGTTGTGCTGGTGTTTCTCATCATCGTTTACTCCATTGGATGTTGCGCCTTCAGGAACAACAAGGAGGAGAATCATTATCCCAGATGGAAATGAAGTCGTTAGTTGATTTTGTATGTCAGTCTTGGATTTTGGTTTTGCCTTTTGCCTTCTGCCTTCTGCCTTGCTTCAGCGGTGTAGGCGTATATTAACTTCCATTATTTAGCTGTTTTATGACTGTTATTGCCCAGTAGTATTATTTGCTGTGATATATGAATAAACTCTACATTCGTGAATTTCGATTCTTTTAAGAAATTAATAATTGGTTTTGATTACTGATTTTGTGTGTTCATTATGGTTGAGAAGTTGATAGCGTAGTGGCGTGCTTGAAACTATTCTCATCTTTGTTTAATCTCACTTTTTGACAATTTTATTTTTTTTAATGGACTTTCTGTTCTACAAGCATGACTATTTATTTATTTATTTATTTTAATTAATGGACTTCCTTTGTTCAACAAGTAGGACAATAATTTATAGGGTCCGCGTTGTTGTTCCCTCGTCACTGTCTGAATTTAATAATTCATAGCAAAAATGTGGTTGTCAATGTTTTTGTGTTCGGGATTCAGATGCCCAACTTCCATTCCCTCTCTTGTTTCAATATTTTAATTTGTTTATATAGGATAATGAAAAATAGTAATAAATTCAACTATATTTTTTATAAATAAAAATAATAAAAAAAAGAAAAAGAATATAACTTGTGTTGTCCAGGTGTCCATATGTGAAGAAATTTGTTGCATGATTTTACACCGCCATGCCTCTTCCAATATTCCACTTGGCATTTGGACAATGACTTCAAACTCATCCATTTCATCTATTACGGAAATAGTTCGCTCAAGAACAAAAATCAAAACTATGATCCATTAATCCATTGAATGAGGTGTGGTGTGGTGTTTTCTCTCCCTTCTGCCACATCCATAACTCTTCCATCCTTCTATTTTGTTTTTGCCTTTCTCTACCAATCCTTTTAAAAGCTAAGGAGAACGAGAAAGTCAAAGAAATACAATATTTACTAGCAGTGGGCTTGACTCGTTACATGCAAACCAACTTGGGCTCAAACTTGGAAGCCTCGAACTGAACTAAGAAGATGCCCATTGGTCGTCCATTGGTCTCAAAGTGACCGAAGATTGGATATGGCCCAGCCCAAATTATCCTGGGGTTGTTGAATTTTAATATATTATTATTTAGCTAATTTTAATCGAAATTAATAAAATACAACGAAATATGCTTATACTATTGAAATATGAAATCCACATTAATATTATTTAATACGCTTCCTCACTATTTTATTGACACGGTGTACCAAACATGACCGCCAAAATTAAAGGTGGGCCCTATAGTCATAGATCCTACCCATATTATATTTAAGAAAAAAAGAAGGTTTTGCAGTATAATATGTTTAAAGAGATTTTCAATAAATGATTTAAAATTTAATAATAAATAAATAAATAAAAAGGGCAGAAAGGGTAGCCGGTAGGTGTCACGTCGGAGACACGTAGGAAGGAGTTGGATTGGAGTTGCCCATGTGTATCATGTTCCAAGTCACTGACATGTCAGAACCTCCGTTCATCAACACCTACACGTACTTCCAAAATCCAATCCAACCTTGTGATCGACAAGACCATATGTGGAGAAAATTAAACGCGTAATGCCAACTCAGACAGCACAGAATATTCTGGAATCTATTTCCTTATATTAAAAAAAAAAATCACATGAATTCCAACCCATTCTCCTTCATTCCAATCGGTCAAAAATTTCAAACTTTATCACATTTGATCGTGTCATCTGATTCACCAAACAGCAGGGGCTGTTCTAGATCGTTCTTGCACTCATTCTTTTCAATCTCATCTTCTATATCTATTCCTCCTTCAATGCCTTCAACGTCTTTAGCCTTCCCCCATAATACAATGTATAATCCAATTATAACAGCAATAGCACCTATTACGCTGCACCCACAATTTAAATTTACCAAAGATTTTAAAGGTTTGATCAAATGGGGAGTATTAAAAGTTGTGCAGTTTTTGTTCTTACCTCCCACTGTACAGCTCTTCGTGCAGAAACAGAGAGGAAATGAAGGTCGTAATGACTGTGCACAGAGGGTTGAATAGGGATGTGAAAAGAGGGCCTCTTCGAGACACACACCATGCTTGAACCAAAAAGGACAATGCCGAGGATATTCCCTAATGAACAATCAAATTTGGGGGTTGGGGTTTAAATAACAGGGGAATTTTCAAGATTTGAGATTCAATGTGTTTTGTTACACTTACGGCGTATAAACAAGAGCCGAATTCCAATGGAGAAGGAAGGTTCCAGACTTTTGAGCTGTCGTCAACCAGTAGTGTAAAGATGGCTGCTTGGAACATGGCGAGGAACAACATCCATGTTGAAGAAATTATATGGTCGGGACAGTGCCTTGAAATTGGGACCTGTACATTAAATTTGGCTAACAATCAATATTTTTTTTTTGTTGTTTTCAATTGTTTTGAGAAATTTGGGGTTTAAAATTAAGATTTTGACGAACCAGCATGATGATCCAGAATGACCAAAAGCAACTGCCTACGAAGAGAAGCACGCAGCCGATAAGCCACGTGTCCCCTTCGGCTCTGTTTCCAACTCCGACTCCGACACCAAGCATTTCAAAAACGCCAAGACTTTTAGGTAACATGTCTGTGTTTAATAATTTTGGGCCTTTTATCAAAGCCATTGCAGCTGCTCCAGTGACGCATACCACCGTTCCTAGTACTTTTGCAACACTTCTCCAGCTTCTTGATTTAAGTTTCTCCAACCTGAAGCAATTCAATTTTAGACACCTAATCTTGAAAAAAAAACAAACCAAATGGAAGTATAGCTTCGGTTGAAAGTTGGGATTCACATACCCTACAGTGAGAGCCATAACGAAAGTGATAGCAGGTATCAAATTAACGATGGCACTCGCCGCCGACGACGAGGATAAGTAAAGGCCTTCAAAATAGGCATTTTGGTTGCCCGTTACTCTGGGGAATGAGAAAAATATCAACAAAAAAGAAATGGGTTTGGCAAAGATGAGAATGAAATGACATACCCAATAAGAGAAGTCACAAAAATGAGAGAAAGGCCTCTGAATCCGATGGAAAGGCTGCGCCCACTTTTCCTGCAAAACTGCAACTGGGTTAACAAAAAACCCAACTTGGAATAAGGGTGTGAAGTATAACTAAAATACCTTGCAGAGATAAAAGCAGCAGGGGCCATGGCTATAGTGGAAATGGCATTTCTATAAACAACAAAGACTCTAGGGCTCATCCCATGGACCAAAGCGGCTCTGCTGAAGATGGCAAGCGCAGAGTAAATACACTGCAATCCCAGCATAGCCAATGCAGGCTTGTAATCCTCAAAGCGCCCCATCTTCTAATTCTTTCAACCCTCCTCTGCTTTTCTCTCAACGAGGGGCTGATGAATATAAAGGCGAAGTCGACCAAGTTGAAAATAAGAAATTATAAAGGGATTGGTACGAAATGAGTTGTCGTGTTGTGCTGAATGAGTAAGGAGATAGAGATAAATGAAAGAGTTTTGTAATGGTCACCAATTTTATAATTTAGTTCAAATGGTTGGACCAACTTCGACTCTTTACGGTATGATATTGTCCACTTTGAATATAAGCCTCCATTGTTTTGTTGGGGTGTGCTTCGGCCGTACCAAACTATATTCATAGCTTTGGCATAAAAAGCTCATTTTTTTTTTTTTTTTTGTTGAGGTATGATTATTGAGAGATGAGGATGGAATTTGCTTTATTTTATTACTATTTAGGATTTGCCAGATATATCATTCATGAATATCGCCTCTTTTTTCATTATCTTATATTAAGCGTATTTTCTAAAATATTAGGTGGCTAAAGATTTGCTTTATTTATTTTTATTTTTATCTTTTAGTTCCATAAATGTGTGGTGGAGGACTCTATGATCTATATCTAAATTATTTTATATTTTTAATGCAATTATTTTGAGGATACAATCCACGAATTTTTTAATAAAATAAGTTTGGATTATATGGTTTATTTTTTGTTTTAATTATTTCGAGTGTTTGAATGGTTCTAGTTTTTTAGTTATTAAATTTCCTTTTATAAAAAAAAAAAATATATTTATAAAGTTTTATTAAACGAAACTAATAATTTTCTTTTCAAATCACACGATTAAATTTGTCATTTATTTTAAATGTTTTCTAATTAAAAAAAGCACTAATACGCAAATGTTATGAAGGGGGAAAAGGTTAGTATGCAGAAAGAAATAAAAAATTTATATGGCGGCCGACAAACCAGGTGGAGTAGGTTGCGTTTGAACTTCTAGCACAGTCGGCCCGCCGCGGCGGATAAAGAGAGAATAAAAATGGGAATAAAATTCCAAAACTAAAAAGAAAAGTCCCTCTCTATGTTTCTTTGCAAAAATAAATAAGTATGTCACCATCATTTACCATAAATAAATTTGTTATAAGGCTAAATAATTTGTGGTGTTCTGTAAACGTGTTGTTCATTCATGATTTCCCATTATTCAATAAATAATATCCTCTAATTTTTGGGGGGTTTCGATGCTTACCTCTAGTAACAGCCACCGCGTGCGACACCGGAGCTGGCGGATTGATCATTGGGGCTTTCATTTCGAGTAGCGGAGGAGATGGGTTTTTGAGTGAAGCTGAAGAAATGAAGTAAACTGAGGGCAGTCGGGTTCGAAATTGAAGAACTGGAAAAGAAACCCGGAAACGACTGTAGTGTGGTTTAGATAAGGAAACGAGAGCCATGGATCATAAGATTACTTCGAAGCGCCGAAGGGTGTTTCTCCGTGGACTTCAATTTGGCACAAACACGTATCTATAGGACACTCGTAGAGCGACAGAGTGGGGTTCAGAGCTTAACCACGAAAGACCGGGTCTAAATTGTGGGCCCATATACTACCAGAGTAAGCCCATGCTGGAGCTTACGAGATCAAACACTGGCCCATCTCAATAGCTCGGCCCAATTCTTATATGTATATTTTTGTTTTTTTTTTTGGATGGCCTTTTATAATGTTGCTCTGGAATTATTTAAATTATTGGAGATTTGTGGGTTCTGCCAGCACAGCCTAAGATCCCAAATTATTGGAAACCACAACTCTTTTACTTTAAATTATCCGGTCGTTGAGCGTGGACTTGACAGTCTCTTTGGGTGTGACTTAAAACGCTGTTTGGTCTCAATAATTATTTAAATTATTTTTTTAATTTCTCTTTCATTATTTAATGCGTGGTGACTTCTTAGTTAGTAGACAAATATTGGTGGCAAAATTGATTATTTAATTTAGAATTGTAGGTTATATGCGTAGAATTGCCCATTATCATTTAATTTTTAGTTTTTAAAATATAATTAATTGGTGGGGTAAGAAAAAAAAAACAAAGTAAATTGTTGTACGAGGGTAGGGGTACGGTGCCACCTTTTTTAGTTCGAGCTGAGGCTGGGGCTGAAAAACAAGCTAAAAATAGGAGCAGTGCTTTGAGCCTCAATTTAATTTAAATAAATGCATGGTGGAAATTATTTGCATATAATGTGCTTACAATCCATGTCAGCAATTGGCCTAACCTCCTAATAAATCAGCCTTTTTTTCAAAAAAAAAAAAATCACTTTATATTTTAATGTGACTAACAATTTCAATGGTAGAAGTTGAAAAGTCGAGACTCATTAATTAATGTTGCGTTTGAATTTTCTTTACACACCAAAGATAATCAAGAAGAAGAATAGAAAGTCCAACTTTCCAATCAATTCATTGATGTAAAGATATTAGGTTTGGATTTGATGATCGTATAGTTTCAAAGTTTGGTCGATACATGTTTATTGTATAGAGATGTGATTGTGTTTGACATTATGTTTGTGAGCGCGGGGGAGGGTGGATGGTGGTTTGGAGTTGGGGTTCTATGAATGTGACAAATTTATAAGTGAATGAATGAATAACTATAGGTTATATTTTGATAATAATAATATATAATGAACAAACTTCTACTGCCCAACAACTGTGGATTCAATTATTTATGCGCGTGGAACAAAATGCTTGGTTCTAATAATAAAAAGCTCTTACGTGGTTAATTCCAAATTAAATGAATTCTCATTTCAATTTCAATCACCAATTTTTATGTGCTTTAATAAATAAAATAATAACTCTCTACAAAATTAGACGGATTTCTACATCTATATGTTATTATACGCCCTACCATCTCTCCTCTTTATTAATCTTTTATTCCACCCACATTGGGATGCAACACCTATATTTATTCCCCGTATAATTTTTTGTTTATTGAAGGTATAATTTAGATAAACCTATAGTATAGTACCATAAATCTCCAGCAACCTTAATTAGTCTTGTTCGTGGTATTGTATACCAATATTTTCAATCCATGTACAACCTATTTTATTTATTAACTTAAAATTTAATTATATATGATTATTTGAAGTCATCATAATATTACTACTTATATATATATAATTTTTTTGTGTCTTATATATCTAGATTGAGGGTATTGTCTTAGTCCTTCCTATTACACTTTAGTTCGTCATTAAATGTTATTAAGCAAGAAAAAAATAAAGAATGAATGATTGAGGCAGAAAAACAATGTTGCACGTGTGAAAAGATTTATTTTTTTATTTTTTAATTTAAAAAAATTATGGTGTTAGGGTTAGAGTTAGGTGGCGTAGGTGAGTGAGGTAGGTCACGAGCCACGCCTAACACTACGGGCCAAAAGCTATTATTCTCCGACGAAAACCGACCATTTACCACGCTATCCCCAATCACAATCGCCGCCCTCTCCATATAAGGGAGCGGCAAGTGTGGTGTGACTATATATAATATATTTTATTTATTTTTTAAGCCACAAGGATATTCTCAACCATTCATCTTCATTTTAATCCAAATTATTACCTCTCTAATTCAAGTCAAAGGAACAAACCATTATTTCACACTTTATGATTCTTTTATATTTGAAATAATGGAAACTTATTCGAACGTGTCTACTAGAGAGTAATTTTTACCTTTTCATAAGTTATGTTTTGTTATTTTCTTCCACGAACGTAGGGTCTTACCTTTAGTTGCCTCATTTATATATGGTTCATCTCATCCGTCCAATGTTCCCTCCCCCACATCATAACAGTTTTTCCATATATGTTATAATCTTAGAATAATAATGGAACTTATTGCTTAGGTCGTTGCAGTGGCTATGGGTGGTTCTTAAGAAGTAATTCTAATCAGCTTTCATAAACAATCCAAACCGCCTAAAAGCAACCCCTACTGCCCCAACCATATTAAGCATTAAATTTTTAGGAGTATTATGGCATCACTACAGCTGTGCCACTCTACGGGTTTGGACAGGAGGAGCGCGTATGCTACTTAAACTACATCATATCCATACCCATAACATGTATGTATGTATGTATGTATGCATGCATGCGTGTAGGAAGAGAAATGGGAGTAGTAATGCAGGTACTTGGTCGGGTCAACTTCTGTTGCAAATCGCCGATTTGGTTTGTTCATAGCATTTATAAAGGGAGCCCACTGGGGAGCTGGACCAACAATTTTTGTTTTCTTTATATATATATATATATACGCACACTTAGTCTGATCAAAGCGAGGGCGAGGGCGAGGGCGAGGGCGCTTTGGGACAATTTGGAGGAGCAAGTGGAAGATCTTCCTTTCCCTACAACAACATCAGAAGATTCATAGTTTCAGGCCTTTTCCGTTCTTTCTTTGAAATCTTCCTTTCCCTAAGGGGTAGAAAAAGACACCTAACTACACCAACTGAGTTCATTTGGGATTTACAGAAATGGTTGCTCCATTATCATCTTGGCCATGGGACAACTTTGGCATCTTCAAGGTATTTTTGGAGGTTAAATTTGATGAAACCATGGAATTTTAGTATTGGTAGATGAATTTGTTTGTATTTTGAATGTATGGTGCAGTATTTGCTATATGGGCCATTGCTTGCAAATGGGTTATACTCATTACATGTAGAGGGGAACATCACAAACAATTGGTGCCTCCATATTCTTTTTCTCTGTTTACTCAGAGTAGGAGTTCATATAGCTTGGAGCTCTTACAGCACCATGCTTTTCTTGACGAGAAACCGCAGAATTCTCCAACAAGGAATTGATTTCAAGCAGATTGATATGGAATGGGAATGGTATGGAATTGCTTTTGTTTTCAATTAGTTCATATGGGGTTGGGGAAAAAAGCTTAAAGATTCAAACTTTTTTTCAGGGATAACTTCTTATTACTTCAAGCTCTAATGGGTTCCTTGATGGTGTACTTGTTTCCTTCTCTTGGATATCTACCGCTTTGGAACGCAAAAGGGTTAATTGCAGTTCTGATACTCCATGTGGGAGTTGCAGAGCCTTTGTTTTACGTGTTGCATAGATACTTCCACACTAAACACTATCTTTTTACTCATTACCATTCTCTTCATCATTCTTCTCCAGTCCCTCAGTCCTTCACAGGTGACCCAACACTCGACAAACTTAAATCCCTTTTGGTTTATTTTCATTTCTCGTCATGAATCTCTCAAAGTTTTGTCTTTTGTGTTTTGTTTTTTCAATAAAGCTGGAAATGGGACAGTTCTGGAACATCTTGCATTAAGTATGGTAATTGGAGCGCCAATTGTTGGAACATGTCTTCTGGGGTATGGATCAACGGCCATGATCTTCTGCTACGTTTTGATATTTGACTTTCTCAGATGCTTAGGGCTTTCCAACGTTGAAATTGTCCCACATCGGCTGTATGAAGCAATTCCAGTTTTTAAATATCTGCTCTATAATCCAACGTAAGTAACTCACCGTTCTTCACCCATTATCGATGGAATTAAATGCCTTTGTGGATTCTTGACACATCTGGCTCTTCGTGTTGCATAAATCGCTTGAATAAGGTTCCAAAACAACATAAAAAGAAAAAAAGAAGATTTTTTTTTTTTGTTTTTTGTTTCTTGTTGCTGTTTTTACCAGTGGTTAAAGCTGAAAGGCGATTGATTGGCGTTTATGGACATTTTTAAGGTACCATACACTTCACCGCACAGAGAAGAGAGCCAATTTCTGCCTCTTCATGCCTCTGTTTGATGCCATCGGAAACACAGTTGATGAGAAGTCATGGGAATTACATAAAGAGATAAGCTCAAATGCAGGTCCGTTTCCCTTTCTCTGTCTTTTGCTATCGATGTTTGATATTTGTGGATATTAATTGCGTAACTAAATGGGGGGTTTTGGGGTTTTCAATGCGCGTTTTTGTTTCGCTTTACTATCCGATTCAATCCTCATTATTAATGGGTGGTTACAACCTCTCATTAAGTGCTTAACCTCATAAAGATGCGCCTTCTCACGACAACGCATTCAAAAAGCTTCTTATATTCAAGATTTTTGGATGAGAAAGCATTTATTGTGTTGCCAAAATCTACTATTCACCAAAACTAATATCTAACTCTCTACACGTTCTTCAACTTTAAAACTTAGGGGCTGTATTTTTGATGTAATGAGGGGCTTAATGACAATAATGAATGCAGGAAAAAACGGGAAGGTGCCTGATTTTGTGTTTCTAGCCCATGTGGTGGATGTTTGTTCATCAATGCATTCGCCATTTGTATCAAGATTCTTTGCTTCACACCCCTATGTTACAAGGTTGTTCTTGCTTCCAGCATGGCCCACTACGTTCATAGTGATGCTTGTGATGTGGGCAAGGTCCAAAACCTTCCTTTACAGTTTCTACAACCTTAGGAATTCGCTTCACCAGACATGGGTGGTTCCAAGATTTGGATTTCAGGTCATTTGTTTAATAATCTCCAAGTTTGGATTTTTAATCTCTGGGTTATATGAATGTTAATAAATTTGGTGTTTGGCAGTATTTCTTGCCATTTGCAAAAGATGGCATCAACAAGCACATAGAAGATGCAATTCTGAGAGCTGACAAGTTGGGGGTTAAGGTCATCAGCCTTGCTGCACTTAATAAGGTAGGGGTAGGAGGCTGCGACTTTATTTCTTTTGTCAAAAAGTTTAATGTAACTCTCATCATCTCTGAATAGGGTTGGTGACGGAAATTAATGACTTTCAGTCGGTTTAATCTTCGTATCCGTTTGTGTAATGTTCGAAGCCTACCGCTAGCAAATATTGTCTTTTTGGGGATTTCCCTTCCAGCTTCTCTTCAAGATTTTTAAAACGGGTCTCTTGGGGAGAAGTTTCTCACTCTTATTAAGATTGTTTCGTTTTCCTCCTCAATCGATGTAGGATTTCATAATCCACCCTTCTGTGGTCCAGCTTTCTCACTGGCACTTGTTTCTTTCCCCAACCGATGTGGGATCTCACAATCCACCCTCCTTCAAGACCCAGTGTCCTCATTGACACACGTTCCCTTCTCCAACCGAGGTAGGATCTCATAATTCACCTCCCTTCAAGGCCCAGATCTTCGTTGGCACTCGTTCTCTTCTCCAATCGATGTCGGATCTCACAATCCACTCCCCTTCGGGGCCCAGCATCCTCGCTGACACTCATTCCCTTCTCGAATCGATGTAGGACCCCCCCAACCACCACCCTTTAGGGCCCAGTGTCTTCGGTTGGGGAAGAGAACGAAACATTCTTTATAAAGGCGTGGAAACCTCTTCCTAGTTGATGTGTTTTAAAAACGTTAGGGGAAACTTGGAAGGAAAAGCCATAGAGGACAATATCATCTAGCGGTGGACTTGGGACGTTAGAATTTGAGGCGTTTAAGAGTGGCTTTGTTTTAGTTATTTACCTCATATATAATTAATACTTTAAAGATTTAAGATTTGGCAAGATCCAAGAGGGATGGGTAAGGAAACATAGAGTGAAATAAAAGAAATATGATTGAGTGATGGGTCTGAAATAATGTATTTGGGGTTTTGTGGACAGAATGAAGCTCTAAATGGTGGGGGCACACTTTTTGTAGACAAACATCCAAATCTTAGGGTAAGAGTTGTTCATGGGAATACCCTAACAGCTGCTGTCATTCTCCATGAAGTTCCAAAGGATGTCAAGGAAGTGTTTCTAAGTGGAGCCACTTCCAAGCTTGGAAGAGCCATCGCCCTCTACCTCTGTCGAAGGAAGGTTCGAGTCCTTGTAAGTTTCTCTCACGCTGCATTAACAAATTAATACAAAAACTGTATTAGATGCTTTGTTTTTCAACATTTCCCCCTCCCCCCTGTAGATGCTTACACTTTCCAAGGAAAGATTTGAGAAAATTCAGAAAGAAGCCCCTGTGGATTGTCAAAACTACTTGGTTCAGGTGACCAAGTACCAAGCTGCCCGCAGTTGCAAGGTAACTAACATTAATTCAAAAAAAACAACAACTTGCTAATTAAGATATGGTTGATGTTGATCTGTTGTCAAACTCCATCAGACTTGGATCGTTGGGAAATGGATCACTCCAAGAGAGCAGAGTTGGGCCCCAACTGGAACTCACTTCCATCAATTTGTAGTCCCTCCCATCTTGGCTTTCAGAAGAGACTGCACCTATGGCGACCTCGCCGCCATGCGCTTGCCTGACGACGTCCAAGGCCTTGGCAACTGCGAGGTATCAGTTTATATCATTTGGTTTGTTAAGATACCATATTAAATTATAACAACTTACCAAGGTGGTTGTGTGTTTGTTTGTTTGTTTGGGCAGTATACGATGAGCCGAGGAGTGGTGCATGCGTGTCATGCGGGCGGTGTGGTGCACTATTTGGAAGGATGGACTCACCATGAGGTTGGGGCTTTGGACGTCGACAGAATCGACCTTGTCTGGGAAGCCGCTATAAAACATGGCCTAAAACCAGTCTCATCCAATTAACCGCATTTTTTTGTGTATTACAATTGTTTGGGATTTTACATTACGAATTAAACAAATGTGGTGTAGTTCTTTGTCTTATTATGTTTTATATGATGAATAAAAAATTAAAAGGAAAAAAAAAACGAAATTCTCTCACAATAATTAACCTTATAGGCGTGAAAGTGGGCCTTCGAGCCCACTGAATGGTATGTTACGTGGCCCAAATTGATTTTATCTTATTCCTACGTGTCAAACTCTCGGATCCTCCAATATTCGTGGCGCACCCCTGTTCTAGCACGTGTATCATCGTCCCTCAAAACCCAACCGCTAAACCACAATCTAGCACCATTTCGACTCTGTTTCTGGGTGTTGGGCAAAAAAGAACAAGAGAAAATTAAAGGGATGGCGAAGGAAATGTTGCATGTTGAGAGTGGCGGCGGGAATGTGAAGAAGAGAATGATGAAGAGGAGGAGGAAGAAGAAAAACATTCACAAAGTGATCGATTATCTGTTATCTGATTGCAACTTATTTGCTCCTCTAATTTCTCCTTCACCCTTCAATTCTTATCGCGCACCCAGGAAAGGTTCATCCTTCATCTCAGATATCGAAATTAGGGAACGCCCAAAAGATCACCGGAGTTTTCTGAAGAAGATGGTGGATTATTTGAAATCCGATTGCTACATGTATGCTTCTCTCGTCGCACCACAATCCTTCAGAGGTACTTTAACTCCTTCTTTATACACAGCGATTGTGTGTGTGTGTTTGATGAGTGCACTACAAATACAGGGCGTGCTGGGTATGTAAAAAGGGTAGTAACTACGGAAGTGTCGGCGAGAAGATTAATTCTCAGAGGTGACGAAGTTATGAGTGAATCCGCTGCGAACATGACTAAAGAGAGGAGAATTTGCAGCACTGATTTAATGGAAGCGGAGGTTGTTGTGGATCAACAAAATGCGACAACAAAGGAGCCACCTTTCTCACTTCACGTGCCTGCCACTCGATGCTCTGTTCGCCATCAAAACACGCCTCGGCCTACTCGTATGGCTTCATAATGGACCCTCTCCCCTGTATTTGATAACATGTTTCATTTTGACTCTAATAATAGGTCTATAAAGTGTTGAATATATAGTTTTGAGGTTTAATTATGAATGGCATGATACATGGAGGGTTTTGTTTTTTGGCGTGTCAGAAATTGAGGCTTCATGTACCATTACTGGCACCCAACTCTGTTAAAGAAGAGGCGCAAATCACGGGCTGTCATTACCTTCTATCTTCTTCTACTAATCTTCCTCTATACATATTCTAAAAAAATTAACATTTTTTTTGGGGGGATATAGGGTTTGGTGGTGGGACATGAACTCCATGTGCTTGCATGTGCCGTGTCTCTCTCTAAATGCCCCACCATTGCCCTGCTTTAACCACATAAATTCTTCTGTTTCTCATGCTTCCCTCTTCATTTCTCTCTCAATTTTACACTTTTCATCACTTTTTCTCAGGTATGTTCATTTTCTTCATTCTTTTTTCCTTTTTTTTTTTTAATTTTTTTTTTCTTTTTATGCACAACCCATGAATTAAATTCTCTCGGGATTTATCTTTGATTCAATCTCCGGCCAACAATTCATGGTTTTGTCTGTTTGTAATATATATGCATGTTGCAATATCAGAATGCGCAATCCCAGTTGTTTAAAACGAGAATTCTTGAAGAAATGGATGATGGGTCTTGAAATATACACAACCTCCAACAAAAACATGACGGTCACCCAGAGAAAAAACGCCATAAAATTATCCGCAGATATAGCCTTGGCCTCCTCCAGAAACTGCGCCACTCGGTGGAGCCAAGCGCTCATCGCCGCCACGTCCGTTGACGACGGAAGCCGCCTCGTGGCCGATGTCCTTCTGGGCCGGACTACTAACCCCAAAATTACGCGAATTATGTGGAGTAGTGTGAAGATTGTGAAAAGAAGCCGCCGCGTGCAGCGGATGAGAAGAAAATGTAAGAAGCCGGCGGCGGAGTTGATTGCGAAAACGTTGGCGCGGAAAAGAAGGAAAGTTCTTCGGGGATTGGTTCCGGGAGGTGAATTTATGGATGAAATTTCATTGATAGAAGAAACCCTAGACTACATATCCGCGCTTCAAGCTCAAGTGGATGTAATGCGATGCCTTGCAACTGCATACATACCATCATCATCATGAATACCCAAACATAATTATAATCAAACCCCCCTTCTTTTGCACATATATGTAGAGCTAAATTTGAGGTTAATCTTAGTGAATAGTTTGGGATCATTTTGTGAGTTTTATGTACAAATAAATGTTTATGTAAGTTAAGACAAATATGAATTTGTTTGAAGCATGTATTTGTGTATTGAATGTGGCGGAGCATTTAGTTAGGGAAGAAGGCCAAATCCAAAGCCGGTAAGTGTTCATGCATGTTGGAAAATGAGTGTAGTTTCTTCAACATTATTATTATTATTTTTTTTTTTTTGTTTTTTTTGGAGGCTTGGCATAATGTTTTTGTTCATAAATGCTCAATCTTGGAGTTTGATCCATGTCTAGTTTGAATCTGGGTTTTATAGAGCGATATTTGGGAAATAGTTATCAACTTCGGGACCTTTTGAGTAAAGGGTTAGAGTCAATTAGGTCAAATGTAATGTTGTGTGTTGCTAAAATGGTTGTCTTATAACTGACATACAAGAAAAAACATTAGTCTTTATATAGGTAAAGAATGTGTCATGGAATTTTTTACCATTTTTTTTTGTGACACATATATTAAAGACATTGAAAAGAAATACGGTATAGTGTGTGAGATCCCACGTGATTAGAGAGGGGAACGAGTGCCAACAAAGACGCGAGACCCAACGTTGATTTTAGAAAATAATAATTATAATATTCTGTGGTTTTAGTATCGGATAAGAAAATGAAACAAAGATATACACGCTCCATGGCCCATGTTTTGTCCCAAACATGATGGACCAGTCGTCATTTAATGGGCCATTAACAAGACCTTAGGCCCATGTTCGATTTCTAATGAAATGGGCCTATACATAATACTAATTTTGATTAGGTTCAACCGTACTTTTCCAAAAATTTCATGCTTGATAATTATTAAGAAATAGGGAAATGCTAATAATATTATAATATTATTAACTAACTTTATATTTAATTTTTTTTTACTTAGTTATATTTACAGGCCGTATTTAAAAAATTAATAATACATAAACAGTGGTGTTATGTCACTTCATATAAATGCCGAAATAGAATAGAACCAAAAAAATGTGGAAATGTCTCTATTATTGGGAGCACACTAAACTATTTTATATGGTTTTGGACTTTACACCACCACATAAATTACCTTGTATTTTTTTATAAAATAAATAAAAAAGAAATTCGATGGTTAATTAATAATATATATATATATATATACACACGATATAATGATTGAGATTCATGCTTCGTTATCATAATCTTAAATAAATTAAAAGAGATTTTGACATAATGAGCGAATTTTTTAAGTCACATGAATGTAATGATGAACTAGACGACACCTTTAACTAAACCTTTCTCCAAAAGTCGAGAGAGGGTTAATAATAATTAACACAAACCCTTTTCTTAATTTTTTTTTTTTTTTTTTTTTCTGAAGATGAAAAGGGAATTGTAAAGTAATTAAGATTTAAAAAGGAAGAAATAGTTAAGAGTATAATGATGGGATGATGCCCACATTCCTTTTTTTGAAGAAAAGAAAGGTACACACATCAATCATGCATGTCTGCAATTACTTTTAACGAAGATATAAGTTGTCCCTAGAAAGAAGCATGCTTTGGTTATTATGAAAATTTATAATGAAGGGGGTGTGGCCCTTGGACAGCTCTTGCAAGCAAAGCTACCAATGCTGCTTTTTTGATGCATACCTATAACCCTCTATGGTTTAGATTTAAAGGACATTGGTTGGTATAAGCTTTATAAATGGTTTTATCCCACAGGCCCTTTCCATATATATATATATGCTTCTTTAGTGGTCGCCATGTGTTTACCATATTCATATCTTTTCTATGCAATATAATATGTCCAAACACGCCCTTTCCATCTGTCAAATCCCCTCCTCATCCATTTATCTATTTCATTGCCTTTTTTTAATTTTATTATTTTACCCCTTTCAGATATATAATTTCTTTTTACGTGGTACGGACCATGTTTGTTTACTGTGTCAGAGACAGGGAAGAAAATGGGTTATATATGGGGTTTGTGCAGCGCAGCACAAGAGCTGAACTTCCTCTCTCACCTCACCTTGCTTACAACTTCTGATTATTACTCCAAATGGAAGCCAATGGGAATTTGAGTAGCGCTTCTGCTGCACATCCTGAGACAATGGACGTGCTTTCACGAGCTTGGTGCAATTTTGCTGTTCAAACTCTTAACCCTGAGCTGCAGCCTGATAAATCTCTTGCTCTTATAGACACCCCCATCAAAGATCTTGATGTCACCCTAACTTCAGATCCTTTTCCGGTGAGAAAATTCAAACGAACCCATTTCTTGTTTTTATTTTTATTTTTACGAAGAGGAAGATGGAAGTAATTAATGGGGTTTCTTAATAGATGCAGAAAGTGGAGAAACCTCTAAAGATGGAAGCAGAGTCCATACCACCGTGGAAATCAAATGATATGAAGGTAACCAAATTGCTTGTGGTTTGGTTTCATTTTATTAAATACACAGAGATTCTTAACTTTTTTTTTTTTTTTTTTTTTTTTTTTTTAG